GAGGCATCATATGTCTTCCTTACCTCACAAAATCTGTATTAATTTTTTTCCCCTGTATTTATCACTGAAACTAATATGTTTTTGTTCGATTGCTTCACAGTGTTCTGATTTATGCAAGTCATACCTCAAAGATGCAAAATGGTTTTACAACAAAATTATTCCACCATTTGACGAGTGCCTAGAAAATGCAAAGATTTCGTGCACAGGAAGGCTTGCTCTTGCTCATTCTTACTTCTGTGTCTGCCACGATTTCACATATCACGTGTGTTAAGAATTTAAACATGAGTTTGAAAAGTATCGTATTAACTACTAAAAGATCACGTCACATTCTCTTGCATTTTTCATCTTATTGTCAATAATTTTCAAATTACCGTGCTTAGAGTTTGATTTATTCAAATTCATTTTATATTATTATTATTTGAGATTGTTATTTGAATTTCATAATCACAAATGTGGTTTGCCTTTTAATTTAAATAATAGATGTAATATAAGTTTAATTTTGAAATAAAAATAAGTACGTCATTAGATATTTAATGTTAAAAGTATAAAATAAAAGTGAATTATCATATAAATTATTTGAAATTATTAATTATAGAAGCTAAATGTTTCCATATGTTGAAGATAAAAACAAACTCTAAATTTGTGCTACTTGAAGAATATTTAAACCTAATTTTAATATTGGAAAAATTCTTGGTACAGACATAATTATGTGTATACACAAGTAATCAATAAAGAATTTACATAATATTTCAATGAAATATAATTACGTGCAAGTATTCATTGATTTAAATTTAAATTTATCAAAAACTTGTGTTGACTATGTCTATGCAAGAATTCCTCCTTCTTTTTGTCAATTAGTTTGGTTAAAGGTTTTCATTAATATATTAATTACGTACTCTAATTTCAAAATCAAAACCTAATTAGGAAGCACTAATAATTTTTTTTTTTTTATGAATCTTCTAAACTTCAAAAGTACAATTTTTATTTTATTTTATTTGTAATGTCCATAAAAAGTCAAATCTTTAATACATAACAATTTGAACATGCGGATTATATCAAATCAACCTTTTCAACCTATGATGACACAGCTGATGCGGGATTTACGTGGAGTATTTGTATGCTTATATAATATATAATATGTTTACTTTTTTTACTTTTCATACTGTTGTCAAAATTGCAAATATTTCAAAATATATTTAATCTATATTTAGTTTTCATTAGTTAGATGTTGATTAGAATTCGAGTTAATTAGTAGTTTATACACTCTTCTTTTAATTTATTAAAGTATTTATAAAAAATAAAATTAAGAAAAGTTTCTTATAAAAAATAAAATGGCAAAATTTTTAGAATAATCTCAAACATAAAACCAAAAAAATTGTCCTTCCAAACATTACCGTCACCATCTAACCTAACTACGTTTTTTTCTACTAATAAAATTCAAACTATAATACTAATTAAAATTAAAGCAAAATGAGAGGTGTCGAAAAAATACTTTAGTTTTAAGTTTAAGTGTATTTTTGTTCTATTTCAATTTTTCTTATCTAAAATATTATAAGAAAATTCAAATGAAAACAACTTATTATTATTGGAGTTCCTACTAAAAGAAATTAGGTTTGCAATAAACAATAAATGGAAGTTAATAGGTTTATTAACCCTATACATAAGTACGAAAGTCTAACACGACAAAGAATTTTAAAAATCTACCATATACAGCCAATATAAATTTAAACATGTCACAAAGTCTCAGTTACATTCTTTCATTAAAAAAATAATTCTACATTCTTCTATAGGGTGTCAAAAATCGATTGAAATTTCTTCTCCTTTAGATTATTATTAAACTATTACTTTTTGGACTTTTAACTTGTATATTATTTAAATTATTTTATCTCTTACATGATTTGATTTATATTACCCATTTTCTATTTTGTTATATTAGTATAATTTATCTATGATTTTTTAGAATGATAAATCATTTTTTTTGAGTTAAACACTTTTTTTACCTGCAAACTTTGGTTCATATTGAAATTAGTACCTACAATATTTTGCTGGTATTTTCAATCCACATCATTTAATAAATATTATAGTTTGAACATGATAATCATTATGTTATTTTTAAATTAATTGTATTGACATTAATCTAACATATCAATATGTTTATAAATATTTGACTAAGATAATCACGGTTAATTTATGAGTAACAAAATTATCATAACTTTTTTTAAAACATTTATTTAACTTAAAAAAACTTATTTTATCATTATTTTTTAAGGATAATGAACTATTTTTCCAATTTATTTTATCTTATATTTTCATTTTCTCAACTCTGTCAAAATAAAATATTGTATCTCTATTTTAATGTTTACACTTCATCATTAAAATGGTAAGGATCAAAATTATTATTAAAATTTAATTATTTTTTGATTTATTTTATTGATAATTACTATATTAAATCATATACAAATTTGTTTATGTATTTATTAAAGTTTATGTAAATATTTTATTATAGAGAAGAAGGTTAGTTAATATAATATAATTTTATATAAAAATAGTTTTTAAGTGTTCTTCATTGAAACCTAATACTAACTACAATAAATTAAATAAAAATAACACTAAAAGAAATTTGATAATCAAATAAAAAATATTATAATAAATTTATTTTTTATTAGTTAATTGATAACAAAAAAATTATAATTATAATTAATGTGTAGAAAAATAATTAAAAATTAAATATTTTTTAGTTACGTTTTAACTTAACAAAAAATAATTTAACTAATTTTTTTTTGTCATCCATTCCTCATTATAAACAATATTTTTTTTATTAATTTTTATACCTTAATTATAAAATTATTGTTAAATTTTATTAATTAAATAAAAAATTATACATTCAATATATATATATATATATATATATAAATATATTATTGAATAATTTAGTTGTGAAACTATTTTTTATCATAAATAAATTTATTAATATTTATTATTTATTTTTAATATGTTAATTTATTTTTAATATTAAATATATTATTTAATTAAATTATACACTTAACAATAATTTAATTTTCAATTAATATTTTATTGTTTTACACTAAATTAGTTATAATTATATTTTATTATTTTTAAATTTTATAAAAAATAATTATTATTTTTATATTATACATAATTTTAATATTATGTACAAGATGGTCCAATTTTTTATTCTTTCATTTTCTAATTTCCCTTTCATCTTCGAACCCACCTTTCTCTCTTTCCTACTCAATTTATTTTTTCGTCCAAAACTTTTAGAATCATCTACCATCTACCACAATATTGTTTAAAAGTAATAAGAAATGCATGCAATTATTTAGTTGCGCAATTAACTAATTAAAGATAAATGAAATTTTGTAACTTTAATTTGTCACTTTAGTTAGCAAAAAATTAATGATATATTAACGATAAAATTTATTATAGAATAACTATTTAAATTTAAAGGCAAAAGACTCCATAATTAATTTATAATTAATTAAAGATAAAACAAATGATTAACTATTAAAAAATATTTCCTAATTAATTTATAAAATTCTTGCGAATAATTAAAAAATATTTATATTTAAATCATATATATTCAATGTCTTATAGTTGCTGTCAAATATAGATACAAATTTACCTTTCAGTCGTGCACATGAGTTCATCTCTTGAAAATACTATAAGTGCTTTTTGAAATCTCTGTTAGTCACAAATTTGATTGTGATTGTTTTTTTCAAAAAAATGGTTTGTTCCGTAATTAAAGTTTTCGATGACTTTGAACAGAGAAATTTAAGAGAATACTTTATTTTGTAAGTAACATTAAAAAAATCATGTATTAAATGATTTATCAATTTTTAAAATAAAAATTTTAAAAATGAAAAAGTTTTTTTTTTCAAAAAAGATGAAAGAATTTTCAATAACACAAAATGAAAATTCAGAAATTCTTTATCCGTAGTTATTGTTACCTAAGGTATGATAGTGAAATCAGAAACTCTGAACAAAATACACTTTGGAAAAAGCTATTTTACATATAATATCGATTCAATATAAATTTAACACAGTTTGATAAATATTAGAGAATTTTTTATATCGTTCAATCTTTAAAATTTTTTACACTTCGATTATAATTACAGTGATAAAAATAAAATAGTTATATATATATATATATATATATATATATATATATATAAAGTTAATATATATTGTATCAGTTTTTCTTTAATGTAAAACATACATATATAACAACACCATCACTGATATAATATACATTTTATATTGGTTATCAATTTTATTAAAGATTATTACTTTTTACATTGATAAAATTTACATTAATTCTATAATTGATATAAACTATTAAATAATTAAGAGCACTGTTCTATCATGAAGTGAAAGCAAAACATTAAAATAAGATTTTCAAAACCTGCTTCCACCCAAGCATAAAATTCTCACAAAGTGAAATCAAAACATTAAAATAAGATTTTCAAAACCTGCTTCCACCCAGGTATCGAATTTTTATAAGTTTTAAACCAAACGAACAACACTACAACTTAATTAAGGTAGATTTCAAATTTTAATCAGAAAAGTAAATAAATAAATCATTCAAAATTTGGATTTGTGTGTGATAAATTAATTAAATTTATATTATGGACATTTAAATTAATTAATTTTAAAAATGGTTAAATTTTTAACAGAATTAGATGATCAACAAAAACACAAACATGTAAATCTAGATCTATAGTTAAAATGAAGAACGTGTTTTTACACGATTGCGTGAAATGGGAAAAAAGTTAGTCTTGTGACTTGTCAATGCGGTCAAATTAATTATTGATAGCTTTTCCAATTTCAAAGCATTGGCCTACCTCCTATTCTCAGTTTCATATTTGGCTAACCTACCCCTGAAAGCTTATAAATATGGGTGTGAAAAATAGCCACCACTACTCCACCACCCACCAACATAAGTAAACAAATTGCAACCTTCTCGTAAGTTAACCCGAGTCATGGCTACTAAAATGGAGAAGTTTGCTACCATGGTTTTGATTTGCTGTTTACTTTTATTCTTCTCTTTACCAGTGATGTCTCGAGAAGTTGGTTAGGATCTTTGCTTGGTCACTTTGCTTTTTTTAACTTGCATGCATGCTGGTTTTGTTTTCAGGATGAAATAAACCAATGATTTGGACCGAAAATAATGAATTTAATGACTTTTACTGTATATTTTAATTTAATACGATATAGCTAGCCATGAGTTTTTCTTTGCTTATATAATTTACATTGTTGGCATGTTCATTCTCTTGTTTTGCAAGTACAGAAGATGAGAGTGAGTTTAATTACGATGAAGAGAGCGAGAATGGACCCTCTCATTGGGGAGAATTACACCCTGAGTGGAGTTTGTGTAACAATGGATCCATGCAGTCACCAATTGATCTATTGAATGAGAGGGTTGAAATAGTATCCCATCTAGGGAGGCTTCAGATGAAATACCAACCCTCCAATGCCACTATTAAGAATAGGGGCCACGATATCAAGGTGAATAAATATTAAACTAAATCACCAAATTCAACTATCAACTTTCCTCAGTTATCTACATGATAATGACAATTAACTAACTTTAATGCAACAATTCTGGTTTGTAAATGCAGCTCGATTGGGCTGCTGGTGCAGGTTTTCTTCAGATTAATGAAACTAAGTATGTACTCAACCAATGTCATTGGCATTCTCCCTCTGAACACACCATAGATGGCCAAAGGTAATACATACTTTTCTCAATTTACAGTGAGTTAAATTAATAATATCTGCTCAAAATTTCGTATCAATGGTTGCTTTGTGCCTTTGTGTTGTCAAAAGATACGAGTAAAAAATAGTTAAAGATAGAATTGCCCTGCAGGTTTGATCTAGAGTTACACATGGTGCACGAATCTCCTTCTGGACAAACAACTGTTATAGGAATACTGTACAAGATTGGAGGACCAGATTCTTTCCTTTCATCGGTAAATTAAATTTCTGCCTTTCATTCTGTGCATGAATCACTAGGTTTCTAATGTGTAATAAAGACTGAAGTTATACATGAATAACCCTTGCTTTTTTCCAGTTAACAAGTCATTTAAAGGCCATTTCTGATAAGACTGAAGCAGAAAGAGTGGTGGGTGTGGTTGACCCTAGGCAAATCAAAATTTTCTACAAGCAGTATTACAGGTACATGGGTTCGCTGACTATTCCTCCTTGCACTGAGAATATTTCTTGGACCATCGTTAGAGAGGTACACGTGCTAACTATCTCACCTTAATTGTGCCATGATGCATCAATTTAATTATCCGTGGATATAGTGGCAGTTTTTTAAATACTGTGATAATGTATCTTACTATGTTTGGAAACTTATGTTTAATTCATCAGATACAATCGGTTTCAAAGGAACAGGTTGAATTGCTCCGAGTCGCAGCTCATGATGTAAGTTAATAAAGAAGTTCAATTATCTTACGAAAACAATGGACACAAAAGTAAAACTAAGCATCATATAAACATGAGACTCTTTCTCTGTAAGCTTTTAGGATCATAATCATGTTATAGGAATAATTACTATGAAAGAAACTGCACTAAGAGAATATTAACTTAATTAATTAGGTCATATAAAGAGTAGTTGAATATTAGGTAGTCTCTATATCAAAATCAATAATCATCATATCTCAGTTTGATTTACGTGTCTTCTTACGTAATTATCGTACTTTTCTATTCTTCACTACTTTTCCTTTTATCAGAACAAAACATATATGCTCATCAACATTGTACATAAGTATATAATATAAATACATGTAAAAAAATGTATCATAAATCATTAAGATATCTGGTTTTTTTCATTGATAAAAACAATACTTTGGCATTGCTTGAACTTTTGAAAACGTCTTGGCTGAAAAAATAGACTAATTATTCTTGCGTTTTGAACTTGACACCTTGGCAGGAATCAGATACAAACGCAAGGCCACTGCAACTAATAAACAACCGCTTGCTGCAACTTTATAGGCGACAATATTATTAAACATTGAAATTGAGGACGTTTTCCAGTGGAAACCTGACCAGAAGGTTGACTTGTAACTTGTCAGACAGTGAATGCGTTTCCACATGGACCATGCCATTGTTAATCCTTTTATTTTCTTTTTCTTTGACGGGGATGGATTGTTATAATAATCAATGTTGTGTTGCTTTTTGTTTTGTTTTGTTTTTTATTACGTTGGATATTGTTTGGTACATTTATTTTTTAAAACACGAATTGAATAAACAATTTCATAATTTTCTATGAAAGGATACGTATAATTATTATGTTTGAGAAATACCGTCTGTGTTTATTGTCTTTAAAGTTCGATTGATAAATATTTCATCATGGCATGCGTGAGGAGTGAAAATAAGATCATAAATGAAGAGAGAATTATATATGCACCAATAGTGTTATACGGTTTCATTTAATTATAAATTATCATATATAATAAATTTGTTAATTTAATCTATCACGATTTTAAATTTAAATTTTTTACATAAGCAATTCTCTTATTTAGTGTATTTATAAAGTTTAATTGACGAATGTATTGGGTCATGCGTGAAGCATGCCGCGAGATAAAATAATTTTACTGTATCATTTTGACTATATAATTTAGAAGTATGTATATTTCTACAAATTGACGAGATCAAGTCTTTAAAGTAATACTCAATAGAAAAAGAATATGCTAAATTTTAGAATAAAGTTAATTATTTTTTATATCATTTACTTTAATTGAATACCTACCTTTATATACTTAAAATAACTTAAAATGTTGTGATATAAAGCTTTTTTTTTTTTAGAAGATTTGAATGTTTAACTATTTTTTTCCCTTCACCTCTCTTTTACATTCACTCTTTCACGCGCAACATAACATCACTGTGCCATGTTGCGTTGTTGTGATAGAAGAGAGATGTTACTAGGGCTTTTACTTTGTGATAAGGTCGAGATAGAAATATATAAATTTAAAGATAAAAATTAAGTTATTTTAACGTAATAAATGAATTATTTATCAAATTATTAGATAAAACTAAACTTAACGATAAAAATGAAAAATAACCCTGAATTTTTTTATTTTTGTGTTTTTAGTGTTATATACTAGTTATGAATTAGAAGATCTAGAAGCTTGTAATTAACTTTGAGGGTTGATATAAAAAGAGTTTTGAACGTATAGAGAAGTTCTAGAAGCTTGGTGTTTCCTCGCACTACATTATGCTCGGTTGACTTGAATTATGATTATCACAATCCCACTTAATTAATGTTGCCTCATTTAGTGGGGATTCTAAATACTCTTTGTTGTTTAATTAATATTAACCTCATAACTCATACTCTCTAGGTTGCTCCTGTATATAAGTAACCATAATTTCTGCTACCTTCCTCGTTAAGCAAGTCAACAAAATTTAGTGTCTCATCCTAACTAGAGAGGTAAGACCACCATGAAATTTTTATGAAGTTTTGTGATCTTTGATTTTGTGGAAGCAAGAAGACAGCAAGAATCTGAGGCTGCAAGGTGATATATCAATGGGCATGGCCACAGAGAAGAAGACCTTCGTGGATGAAATGAATATGAAGAAGGAGAAGTTTCGAGTCGTGAAAATGAAAAGCACAACCCGGGTTTTACGTATGGTGGAATAAGCAGTGTGAATATAATCATCATTACATCCAGAGGCAGAACTTCAACAACAATGATGGTGGTCATAAAATTGGGAATGATGGAAGTGAATGATAAAAATTTTACGTTGTTATGTTCATATTTTGACACAGATTGATGTGGTTCGTCCTGGTCGAAAATTGAATAATTAAAAGAAACTCAAGATCCTGTGCAGCTTGGTGTTATTCTGATAAGTATGGCAATACAGTGCTTCATATGTACTAGAGACAAAAGAATACAAGTCCCTATATATGTTTCAATGTTGAACCAGAAATTTGGTGTAGGTTACATCACGACATCACAGTAACACAGGAAGATGATTTTAAAAAACTTGCCTATTCTCCACCCACTAACCAAACATATCGATTCTTCAAATGAGCTTCACATATCTTTCCATGTATGAAACAGGTTTTATGCACTAACATTTATTTCAATTGAATCAATGATGAGAAGATGAAGTTTTCTTAGAAATTGGCATATTCCCAAATACTGAAAACACCAAGAATAGGTATACAAGAAGCGGCAAACACGGATGAGTAATGATTTGTGTTGAATTGAATTGGACCTTTTCAATGAAGCAATCCTGGAAATGGTTTTTCGGTGTAGTCTTTTCCCAACATAAAGCAAGTTGCAATCGCTGAAATTAATTTTAAAAGAAGAAGGAATTAACGATGCCAAATTAGTTTGACATCAATCAACACAACCAATATACCCTTGAATGAGGTGGAATTATCCTATTTTGTCCACGTATATACATCAGGAGAGAACGTTTCATGAATAAATTGGATGATATTTTTAATGGGCATCGCACTTAAGCTTGCCTTATTTGGTGACAACGCATGCAAACCCCACCATTTTATTATTTCAAGTTGACCTACGAAACCCCCATTTCATTAGCCACGAAATAGCCTTATCTCGTGCCCCCCTATAAAACCACCTTCAACAACCTTTTCTTTATTCTTCATACTGGATCGCAAGTTCATCTATTGCATCCAAGTCTTATCTGGTGAGTTAACTCACATGCTACCTGGTTAATTTTTTAATCATAGTATATTTACACTCCCATATGCATTGCACCCTCTACTTCCTCCTTTCTTAGTTTCAATCCTATATGAAAAGGGGTAATATACTTTAACTATTTAAATATTTCTACATATTATTATTCAGATCAGATTGATAAATTTTACATACACATGAATTACATTTACTTTCACATTACTCACTAACTTTTAAGAATTTAATTACAATACAATTATAGTGTAAATCTGATTATATTATTATTTGATTGTAAAAATTATATATAGACATTATTTATTTTCATAATAACTAATTCAAAATTTTATATTTAAGATTACTTTTACTTGCTTGACATTGTATTTTTTTTTTTTTGAATAAGTAGTATATAAAAAATTAAATGAAACTTCTTTAGTTACATGTTTTCATTTCAAAATTAAATTAATGAGTGTTTATTTACAAAATTTATATTAATCTAAACTTATTTTGTATTTTTTATTTATATTAAAATTGGTATTATATATTTTTAATATGTTAAAATATAATAATTATATTATTTTTTTTGGTTTATATTTTATAAGATTTAAAATATATAATTATAATTTAACCATTGGATATTTTATATAATTCATATCGGTGTGTGAGTAATCTTATATTTATTTATAATATATATTATAGAAGAATTAGTCCTTTGGTAACCTCATAATAATATTATTTTGAAGTTTTTCATTTTTTTTATTTTTCATAATTTCATAGTTTTAAGTTGTTGTTCACCTCTAGTGTTATATTAAAAAATAAATGATAAAAATCAATATTACCCTTATTAAAAATATTACTCGTAAAATAATACAACTTCTTTTATAATATAAGAGAGAACGGATTAAATTACTTTATCTTCATCTTTCATTCTGTTTTTGCTTTAAATTAGAAAATAATTCTAAGTATTACTTGATTATTAGACAGGTGTGTGAATGTGTATTTGTTTTTCAATTAGTGGCGTACGGTTTATAATTATTTAATTGTTTGTAATAATAATAAAAAAAATGAACCTACACTTTGCATGTAATTTAATTAAATTCAAACTTTATCCATTAGAAGTCATTGATTGGCAAACCTAGGTTTTTTTTATCAATGGGTTAAAAAATTTTAAATTTTACTAAAGGTCAAATTTTTTAAAAAATTATCAAAAAATTAAATCGTGTTATATTAGAGAAATGTTAACGTAAAACGATTTTTTATTAAAAAAAAAACTAATGTAATTTTGTTCTTTTTATAAAATTAAAGTCATATTACAATTTTAGTTATATTTATATATAATGTTATGTAATACGATTTTATTTTTAAAATAATTAAATTAATTCTATTTAATAAATATATTATTTAAAAATTAATAATTTATGTATTATTATATATTTATATTATAAAATATTATATTAATTATTTATTTTATATAAATTTTGTATAAATAATAAAAATGGAAACAAATATTTTAAATAAAAAAATATTAATAAATTTATTTTTAAATTTAAATTATGTTATATTATTTATTTTAAATTAATAATATCTATTTTTACAGTTTTTTTAATTAAATTAAATTTTTGAGATAAATATATTATTTAAAAAAATATAATTTATTTATTTTTTTACATAAATATATTTATATATATTTTTAGAAGTTATAAAATAGTATATTAATTATTTATTTATATTAATTATTATTTTATATAAACTTTGTATAAGTAGTATATAAATAATAAAGGTAATATATATATATAATATTATTACTATTATAAAATTAAATAATATATATTTTAAAATAATATATTTATTTAAAATATTATATTAATTATTTAGGTAATAAATTTATCTAAATAATATTTATTACTAATTTTAAATAAATAATATAACATAATTTATTAAAAATAAATTTATTAATATATTTATTTTTTATTTAAAATATTTTTTCTATTTCTATTATTTATAAAATAATAATTGATTTAAATAAAATAAATAATTAATATAATATTTTATAATATAAATATATAAAAATAAATAAATAATTACTATTTAAATAATATATTTATTTAATAAAATTAATTTAATTATTTTAAAAAACAAAACTAATATCGTATATATGAATATAACTAGTACAACTTTGATTTTATTAAAAAAAATATTTAAATTCGTTAAAAAAAACCACCATTTTAATTCTTTTATTATAAAATTATTTTATGTTACACGATTTTTAAATACGATTTAATCCTGTTAAGCTTTTGAAAATTTGATCCATATCAATAAAATACTAATATTTTTAACCCAGCGAAAAAGCTGATGTATTCAATTGGTTGATGATTTTTGCTTTTTATTTTACTGGTTAAATTAAATCAAGTTCCTATATAAAGCAGAGTGGGGAAAGAGAAGGTGACATGAGTAGTGTCAGAATGAGGGTTCTGGCAGTTGCATTAATTTTGATGGTAGTATGCTGCTGTTGTATGGCTTCAGATAGGTGGAGCTTGGAGGCCCAAATGCATGGTAAAACCAAGCAACTTAGTAACCAGAAAATCCCTGGAACAACCCACTTTGACGTCACTGATGATAATCATCACCATTACATCCCTCCCAAGGATTTTGGTAAACCTTCCTCTGACCAAGATGATGCCACTGACGATAATGATCATCACTACGCTTCTAATATGGATAATAATTATGGCAAACCAGGAGGATTGATTAAAACGCACGGTTAATGATCTCAAGGGCTTCCCCTCACAAGAACCACGGCATGCATCTTTGAGTGAGGAATTCAAATACATGGTTGGTAGATATAGATGAAGATCATATAGAGTGAGTGCGTAATGTTTGATAAATAAATCAGTTACTACTGCTAGACATGTATGTGTGTGTGAAAATAGATTACGAGAAATTCTTGGTTGTTCATTGTACAGATGCAAGAATTTCTCAGTACCCATAGAACTGAGCGTATCTCGGTATCTGCATGTTGTGTCCCCTTCGATCAGTGTGTAACCTATAAAGGAGTGTAGTAGAAATTATAATCATCGTTTTCTGTTGATAAATAAAATATGAGACGGTTTGCTTTGCAGTGCTCCTTCCATTTCTTCAAGGATAATGGATGTCCTTTCATAAATACTGTGCTGTGTGAAATATATTTAAAATTGTAAAATTTAAATTTTGTATCTCAAATAATAGTTAACAGAAAAAGAAAATATCCACTAAGTAGAAAAGTTAAATAAGATTATATAACCTAATATGTTAAGATTTTAGGTTAAAAACGAATCATTAGTCAGAAAAATACCTAAGCATCCTTATTTCCGTTAATGTTCAACTAAACTCAAATCTAATTTTTGAGATGATACCAACATCTATTCTAAATTCCGTTAAGAAGGTGACTTATCATTTATATCAGAAAAATCCAGTCAAATATGACAAAAATAGTTAACATCTCATTCATAATTTTATAATTTAAGAAATTTCATCTAATAATAAATAGTATGTTACAAAGAGTAAATGCGTATACTTAGCCTCCTCATATACTACTTCTAATACTCTCTACAAGCACTGGTTATTATTTTCTTTTATGCTTGCATATGTGTCTATAACTTCGTTAGAAAGTGTTTGTGAAGAAAACAAAGTTTACATAAGTTTCAGAGTACCTGAATTGAAAACTTGAGCTAGGCGGTGAAACTTATCTAAGAACTCCAGAAAATAAAACATTCATGCAACCATTACATCTTTATTCACCATTTCTTTTTCAGATCAAATATAAATACATTTTCATAAATATTACGCCTAACCTTCTTTTACCATGCTCGTTACCCACATCAAGTTAATAAAGAACTAATTATAGATAAAGGGACGCAAAACAAAAACATAGCTCCACATTATACCCTATCTTTTTTCATTTGGTTGTGATGCCCTTGTTGAACAGCGTGTTCAAAAGTTTGAACGTTTGCCACCCAGTTTCAGTCCAAAATTTCGCAGTCTGAAGCTAGTTGGTATGTGATGAGCACCACAGGGTGTCGACTTTCCCATCACGAAGTTACTTACTACAATCAACCCACAAAGTCATGGATCATGTGCCCTCCAAGGCGATGTCTAAGCTGCTCCTCTTGCAATTGTTGTTGGTGTTGCACCCCTTCAACACCATGCCTAAGACCCAATGTTAGTGACACAGAACCAAGTCCACCAACCTCAAGACCACCACGTCGGTATGGCACAAAACCCATCAGCGTACCATCCATATCGTTTGAAGTCATTTGGCATTCCACTTTAGATCTCTTCTCTTGACACCATGGTTCTTCATTCAACTCACTTTCCCCAACATTGCTTGATCCCATTTCCATACCATCAAATTGGTTTTCAGGTATTGAATCCATACCAATATTGCTCAAATGCTTATCCATTCTAGGTTGGCTGGTATCACCTTGAGTGCCAGGAGATGTTCCCTCATGTTTACCATTATTCTCCTTGGTGCCTGTTGCTTTAGTTTCAAGCATGTGTATTTCCTCAACCATTGGCTTCCACACTCGTACTCGAGCATTTATGAACCAATTTGATACCTGCATTAATCAGTTACACCATTGTTTCGGGTTGTATAATATAACACGAAATATTGAGTAGGTATAGTTAGTGACATCGAATGAGAAGCCAAGCATAACACACCAATTCCAACCCTCTGTATGGCATGAAATTATTTTAAAAATAGTGCTTACTATTTGATACTGTTGAACATTAAGTTAACAAAGAAAAAAAAATCATTTCTAGTAAACCAAAAAGTGTGATGTGTTAGGATTAACCCAGTATACATATATATATATATATATATATATATATATATATATAATCTTATTGTTAGTGATAGTGAGCTCATACTAACAATATGATATATTATGAGGATAATATACATTAATGAACTACACCGTTAAAAATGTCTATTAAATTGAATACTATAATTAGTGCAGAACTGTAGATTAATAAGTATACAATACAGTTTTAATTTCCATAAAATAAAGAATATATTATTGGAGATCAGACTGAAAATATATAGCATAGCGTAATATTTTTTGGTAGAAGCTATTAAGATCCCATGACAATAGCTTGGAAGAGCTACACTCATTTTTGGAAAGCCAAGAAACATATTGAAACATTTGACAAGGCTATGAACACCCTTTAAGCTGCGAACTTGAACATATATCAATTATACTAATTCAATCAACCGAATAAAAAGCCTAGAAACATAATAATGAAATTTAAGGAAAACGCCTCCACCTGGTTCCGTGATAGACCTGTTTGACTAGCCAGTATGTGTTTATCAGTGTCTGTAGGGTAACTGAAAAGAAATTCAACAGCAAAAAAGCGACAATATTCAATCCAAATGTCTCTGTGGAATAGAGAAAAGAGTCACGGAGCAAGAAATAGAGACATAGAGGACAAACATACGGATGAAGAAAATGCTCAAATAACCAGGCTTTAAGAATTGCCACTGCACGCTCTGGCAACCCTCTCTGAGGCCTCCACACATGCTGTTGGGGGTCAAGAAGATCTGTAGTAACCCTGCCAGATTTGTTCTTTAGAAAGCTTTGGTCCTTGCTGCATCTTATCCTCGCCATAGCAGTGTCAGCTTTACTACAAGTACTGGTGGAGGGAATAGACAAATCCTCTCCCAAGGCTTCGCTTATAAGCTTGAGCTGATCTGAGATAGAATTTTTTAGACACCTGAAATGTTTCGATACTGACTTGAGAGCCATGGGGATGTAAGGAGTAGCAGAACTAAGACCCGCTACTGACTCGAACGATGAAACAACCATTTGCATTTGTAGATGGTACTGCTTGCATTGCCTCGTAACCTATTACAAATGGCCCAACACAACAGTTTCAAGAAGCAACTAATTACAATTAACTAAATACGAAAAGGAAAATATTCAAGACAATTATAACTAGCAGTAGCATCATTGAGAAAAATCAAATTATTCTGACTCTAGTAAAATCACTGTACCTTCGTAGGACAAGTTCATTACAACCTAATTTTAGATTTATTAAGGAACTGTATTACTGTTGCATGCCGAAAAAAGTTATGATGAAGTAAAATAACAGTTTTTTTATATTATTTGTGCCTTTATATAACAATCAAAAACTCTTTTGATAAAATTATTACCAGCATACTGAAGTACATTACTGAAAGTAAGCACAAATACCCGTCAGTTTGACCAAATTGTCAGTAACCAGGTAGGGCATAGCTTCTACGTACTGAATCTTTTCTGATGATGTTTGGAATATATTACTACACTTTGAGAGGTGAAGTTTACACGGTTGACTGGTTGACTGGTAGATTTTAAAAATTACCGTGTACATTCGGGAAGCACATGCCAAGCAAATTAGGAACACAGCTAAGTTGGTATGCGTACAACGAAGGAGACTGATTGGGTGCATGGTTCAAACTTTTGCTCTGCCTAGGTCTGCAACTACAGTTACTGACTCAACCACAGTCATCCTACAAAACTTATTGTTCAGAATCTTTGATTCAAGTACTAATAGTGGATGCACAAAACGATTTGTTGGGGTAAATATGCATGAAAATGACTTCACAAATGCATCTTTAAATTCCCACTCATATCGGAAATGTTACTCTTTTGTAAAGGATGGAAGGATTACCAAATTAGAGTTAGATGACACAGATTTTTTTGTCAATTATATAATTACAGGAAACATCATCTACTAATATATGAAAGCTATAGTTACAATCATGGCGTTGGCATGACTATAAATATCTTTAAAAATAGCATATATATATAATGAGTTTCATTGTGATAAATCTACAGTCAATCTCATCCTAATTGGTAGACATAAGATAATCCAATCCTGGAATTAGTAGACATAAGCACACCGATCTGTACAGTAAAAAATATACATACATTATGGATGACACAAATTAGTACGGAGATAAAAAAACTAATGGCAAGACTATAATTTTATAAATAGAAATAAGTTCAATAGAGAATGTGTTCCTTATCCATCATTCCAGGACAATATATTACCTCACTTGAAGGACTTGTTCTGACTACATACGGTCAAATTAAATATGGGCACTGGATGATGCTTTTTAAAATCTATTCATATATACATGAGTATTGGACCTTAAATTCCATTATAGATCTTCTTTTTCTTTTTCAAATTTTCTATGCGCGTGGAGAAACCTAAAACTTAAATGTAAGAGAGAGATCAAGCAATGCCAACCAAGCAAATGAACAAGATAAGAGAGGGGATTGAAGAGACCACACAATGAACAAGGAAGTAACTAAAAAGGTATTCATTTGACAATGAGAAGGTTACATAAGCAAAGGGAGTTAATCATCTCATATCACTACCAACAACCCAGGTGATATCATATTTATATAATGTCATTATGTGATGAGACCTTTATATTCCTTTCCCTTTGTTTTTCACAAGGGGTGAATAAAAATTACTCCATTACCCTTCTTAGGATACCGTTCAACCATTTATGTTCGAACTAGCACGAATCACTCTATGATGATAACTTCGTAGGTAACAAACATAGAAGTCCCGACGGTTAGAAGCTGCAAAAGTCGAAGCACAAAGAAAGAAATTGACAAGTTCAAACGTAAACAGGGTCACCATTTTGTTTTCCCCATATTATCCCTGGAAAGTGAGAGGTTTAACCAGATTGTATCTTAAAATTTTAGAAATCAAGGCGTGTTTGTTGCAGCACATGCAATGTAAAAGTATTTGTCCTTTTTTTCATATTTACAGTAAGTTGTTTCAGACAGACATTAATGTGTCAAAATAACAACATAGGGAAATAAAACATAAAACAGGTTATGGAAACAGTGATAACGAACCTCTTCTTGCATGTACAGCAGCTTTGCTTTCTTCTGCTGAAAATCTGGCCGCGAAGAAAGACCAAAGCTACTTCCAACACCCTGATCAGCACTATTTTCCTTTGAGACATTATACAACATAGTTGATGAAGAACCTGAGTTACTACCTTTTGCAGTAACCCTGGTTTCGTTGACAGTAACAGTATCAGCAGAAGTAGAAGCACTAACTTCTGGAGAAACCCTCTTGGAAACATCATATGATTTCGGAAATTTTGCACCAGAAAGACAGCAAATCTCATCTAACAATTGTTGGACAGATTTTAAGAACCTTGAATTCTTAAGAATAGTAGCATACCCGGTGAAAGGGCCAAGGGGACCCACACTACGGTAACTAAAAGTACACTTTGAAGGCATTCCCACCGCGTCTTGAAGTGATTTCCCACAATCTCTTGAAACAATAGACGACTTCATATACTTCAAACAATGAGGATCATCTGATGTAGACCCTTGTTCATGCTGAGAAACAGAAGGCTTGGGTTGTGCATTCGATGAAAGTGACAAGGATAAGCTCTGAGGAAGTGAATCACTAGGGGTATTATCTACTGCTCGATTTGTCCATCCAAAACGTAACGGATTTGGCTGATTTCCATAACTTGGTTGTTGAAGCTCAACTTCACTAGCATTCCCCACCCAAATGCTGTGGTCATTATGTTGCATCAGGGAAGTCGCGTCTTGCCTAGAGAGGGCACTGATAGAAGCCGACTTCACAATATCGTGCAAAGCATTCTGATACAGTGGAGAAGAAGGAGGAGGATTATGCAGTACACCTAATTGCTTTTGAATTTCTCTATCACCAGATGCATTCCTACACTGTACATCCATAAGTTCGTCGTAAGCAGACACATTGTTGAGCTCAGAAGACAACAAAGAATTGGCATTACTTGCATAATTACAAAACCAATCAGATCCTTGATGGGGAGCACTGTTCCTCCAATTTCCCAAACTACGAAGTTCACACTGTTCCGTATGGGAAGAATGAATAGCGGGAATGGAATGGTAAAATGCACCATAGTGAGTCATCATCAGCCTATTACTCGGTTCAGCTGCACCTATTTCTTGATGATGATACTCCAACGCGTTCTTTGGAGCAGACAAAGGGTTTGAAGAAGTGGAGAAGTTTGGTATTTCTGATGAGTAAACAACCGGTTCATCAAGCATGTTAGCGTTTCTAACATTCCTAACTTGAAGAAGGTCAAAGTTATTAAACCCTGGCTGTGATGATAACTGTTCGAGATTGTTAGGGAATTCTTGCAGATGTTGAGAACTGTTTTGGATTCTCAATTTTTCGCGCCGAATTTGCTGTGCCACATGAGACTCAGGCCTTAAACTGCTCATTCCAACACACGAAGTTTAACACCGATGACAAAACCGCTTCTCCCGTTCAGTGTCAAAGCCTTCCAGAAGGAAACAGCCACTGCATAAACTCACATAATTGCTCTCTCCTGCACAGAAATTCAACAACCTAGTCTGTCAATTTTTGAAGAAATAAAATTCGAAATAGTAGGAGATAACAGTTATTACACCCTACCCTATTATAATTTCAGAAATTATTATTTTATTATATAAAAACCATTACACTACAGACACGCAAAGAAAGAAATAAACAAGAGAGAGAAGCTGCAGCAAACTACCATCATAAATAATAATAATAATAAAAACACTAAATACATAAGGCAAGACAAGACTGAGCGAGGTCTGAAGAAACCGATCCATCTTCATTATTTTCTATAACATTCCCACCTTGTACATGTTTCACTATAACTTTATCTCCTTGCAGAAAAATAAAAATAAAATAAAATAAAACAAAAAGACGAAGAGTTAGCTCCTTCTCCGTTACCAAACACCTAAAGTAATACTTTCTCTCAAAAAAACAGCTCCAATACGATGCTTTTCCACCCACCACCAAACAGAGTAATATCTAACCCTCACTGTCGGTAATAAAAACATCGAAGGAGAACCACACAATTAGCACTACAAGAACAAAAACATACAAAAAAAAGACCTAAAAGTTATACGTAAACCACAACGACAACGTTAGACACCTCTTAGTGGCAGGCACGAAGAGCGAGTGAAAACCCCAGTTGCATAGGACTCCCTTGAGACGGATCTAAGCCCTCACACATACACAGCAGCCTTCTTGTTTTCAAAAGGTAAAAACGTGTAGAGCCACTGCGGAGACACCTTGAAAGCATTATTATTGAATATGCAGAAACAAGAAGAAGGAGATAAGAAACACGGACTACTATGTGCATAGGGAAAACGACGCAGAGACATGAAGCGGTGAGAAACAAAACGACACACAAAAAAATCTAGTGTTTCAAGAGGAGGAGCCAAGAAAAGAGAGAAAACGTGAAGTTCTTTATTATTGGTTTGGACAGTTGATAGGGTGAGAAAGGACTATAAGGAACTAGTTAAGGTACTTTCACCTGTGTCATGGCAACTTGGCGATGATGAAGACAGAACCAGTCACAATTCAGATGAGAATGAAAGAAGCTTTCACTACTACCACCCTAGCCAGCACCACAATGATTACCATGATGACCCGTTTTCTTTGACGTTTAAATTAACGTAAAGTCGTAGTTAAAAAGTTAAAAAATAGTTAAAAACTACGCAAGCATTGAAAAACTGTGACGCTTTCCTCGTTCAATGTTCAACAAGTGTGGTTGGGCCCCTACACTTCCATCTTCATCTCCCTCCCCTTTTTTGCAAATTATGTGTGTCTTTTATATTCTGCGTTCGAAACTTTCTGTGTGTTTATTGGAACTTGGATGGGACGAAGTCCTGTAGTTTGTTCACAGATTGTTTGCTTGCTCCAATTCCTTTTTCGAATTTTTATTTCAAGTGCTTGGTTTTGTATGGCATCAATCAATAAGACATTTTCAACTATTTCTGAACAACTTTTAATTGTGTGATGTGATGGGATGCTTACAAAAATTTATGGACATTTTTGTTATTGTCGATTTTATAAATGAAAAGTGTGAATGGGATTTTAAATGAAAAAACAAAACCTTTTGTTTGGATATGTGATGTACGGTAAATAAATGAAAAAAAAAAAGAGTAAGATGATTTAAATTAAGTGAAAGAAAACAAAAATATGTGAAAACTGATAAATTTATTTATATTTAATAAATTTATTTATTATTTAATATTTATTATTATTATTATAATAGAAAAACAAAAAACACTTATAATTGATTTAGTATTTATTATAATTTAGTATTAAATTAGTTTTATATTGAATTGCAGTAAAAATAAACACAATAAATTATAGACAGAACCCTATGATTAACTTTTGACGTTGTTCTCTACTATGGAACATTTCGTAACCAAATACATTCATTATACTTATTTATCATAAATAGTAAGTGAGAATCTGATAAGAAAATGCTCGGAAAAATTAGATGAAAATTATATATATATATATATATATATATTTAAAAGAATCATAAATTTTTTTATTAATGTATTGTATAATAATTAATTATTTTTAAGATTTAAAGAGAATATTATAATTTTTTTATAATTAAATTTTATTATTATTTATTCTTTTTAATAATAGTATTAGATTCAATCGTTTGTACGATGATGTGTGAGTAATATAATTTTTTTTATAATATTGGTTGATATTGTATTTTAATAATCATCTGAGAAATATTAATATTTTCTTACCCTTTTTGTAATTAATTTTTAGTGTAAACTATTTAACATTAACTATCATTATCACATATTTTTATATCTCAATAAAAACATATTTATCAGAGTCGTGTTTAAAGCATAATTATTGATTATAAAATATATAAGTTAATACAAGTTAAATATAGCATAAAATCTTTTAGCATTACTTGGTTGGTTTCAAACACTTGTTCCAAAATAAAAGAAAATATCTTTAGTAATGTTCCCTCACTTAAATGATATTTCTTAATAAAAACACCTGGATCATTTGATGTTATTATTGGCTTAAAGTTTCTACATTACTTTAAGACATTACACACACACATATATACATATAATATATAAATAAAAGCAAAAGGTTTAGCCAAAGACGTTAAATTTTGCATCTTCGTTAATTTCCATACTCATTCATTAAAAATAAAAAAGTATATTTCAACTAAATTTTACGCAAGTATTTAGTTTCCACCACCACCAATATTAGCTTATATCTATTTTAATATTTCAACTTAGTTATACTTGATAATCGTGGTTTTAAACTACAAGAACAATAACCCGCTAACTAATCGGATTAACATGTTTATTCTCATAAAGATAAATCTATATTTTTCAACATTACTACGTTTTTCTATTAATAAAGTTAATTTAAGGATTTAACGTTAGGAAATTTAAAATTCACAAAAAAAATATTTTTAGATATTTAAAATTATATTTTATTATTATTTGAAATTCTTTGGGATTATTATTATCTATAATTTAAGTGAAAAACATGTCATAACTTATTTCTAAGATTTTTTTAATAGGTTATTTTGTTTTGGATATGAAATCCTTTAATCATGTTATTATTATTTTATTATTATATCTATTAAATAATTTAATTCTCTTTAAAATAGACCAAGATTTTCAAAAATCATATATTTTAAAAGAATCTCATTTTATAATCAATATAAATATTTAGGAATGGCAAAACGAGTCGACCCGTCTCGTTTTTGTTCGCCCCTTTGGCCGTCAAAAGCGGAGCGGGACGGACCGACCCGTTATAGTCATGACGGTATGTAGACCTTGATCCACCATAATTTAGAAAAAAATAATTTATTTTTTAAAATAATTTTTTTTAATAAATTTAATAATAAGATTATTATTTGTTTATCAATAATTCAATATATATATATATATATATATATATATATATATATATTTCAATTTAATAATATAAATCAATACATTATTTTAAGAAATTATAATTTAGAACAATAATAAAATTTACATAATAATAAATAATAACAAATATATATATATATAAACGTTAAAACTTATAAAATTTATATTTTTTATATTGAAAATTTTAAGTACCTATATCTTTTTTATTTGATAAAACTTCACATTATTCTTGGTTGAGTAATTCTTAATAGTGCTTAAGATGAACAAGTAAAACAGGAGAGAGAAGGTTGTGTTTCGAGTAAGAAGAATATTTTATGTGAAAGTGAAACTTTTTTAATTCTTTTTTAAAATTTTTAACTTTATATATTATCTTTATAATTAATTTTATTATAATAAAAAAATAGTTTTTTATTAATTAGGCAGTGCAGCAGTCGACCCACTCAGTCCCACGAATTGGTCCGGTGGGTTGACGAGCTTGACGGAATGAGTCAAAATGGACTGGTGTGGGCTGAAAACACCAACCCGCGCCGCGGCCTCCCATTTTGCCATCTCTATAAATATTCCACTAAAAGAAGAGAACATTTATTCCGATACTATAAAATTCAAATCTATATTAATTTCCTGCCTATAAAGATTGTTTTTCTAGTCGAACAATCTAAAGGTTTGCAAATATATGAGTAAATAATGTTCAACAAATTCTTTATATTACTTCAGAAAATAAAAAATAACAACGAAACACACTATTACAAACTTTGATTAACATGAATTCATTTTTTTTTTCCTATCAAAATCCACGTACAAGCCCACCAACTCTACATGCAAGCTAGAGTTTAAAACAAAAATTTTAAATTCTCCTTAAAGAACTTAGTCCGAACAAAATTCTCTAGACTTGATATAAGGTAGTTCCTAAATACAAGTATTAGAAAAAAGGAAGAAAATTTCTTATAGAGTTTTTTACGTAAAGGGCAAAGACAAAAGAGTTTCGATGAGATGATAAAAAAAAAAGAAAAAATTGTTTTCAATTTACATTCTTAAAATCTTAATTTAAAACACGATGATCATTCTTCAATAACTTTAAACTGAAATTCATAAAAAACATATCTTGCCATTTTCGAACAAATTGAGTGGTCATCTCTTGGATCCGTGCAGATGAAAGTCTTCACTATCCCCTTCTCAAATTCAGACGAAGCGAAGAGCTACATCAAATAAAAACATTTATATTGTTTTTGTGCAGAATTAAATGAATAATATATAGTAAAAAAATTATCTATGCCTTATTAAACAAAATTACTTCAAAGTCAGTGGACTTCAAATTATCATTATAAAAAAAGTAACATTATTTATTTTTTCTCATCACATTACCATATTTGTGTATCTTTCTCTTTACTTCGTATATACTCCAAATAAAACTAGACGTTTAAATTTTTCCACGAATCAAAGGGTATATTTTATTTTAATTGTATTTTATACCGGGTAATGATTAAAAAATCACTTTTATTTGGATT